TCAGCTGGATTTTAAGTAATTTTCAGATGATTTGTTCTTTCAAATATTTTGGGGTCGGGGGATATGTCATCTTCTGATGACTCTTGTATAGCTCGGTATGTGCCAAACTGCTGTATACGATCAATGTTTGTAACTATATGTTCAGTTTTTTTTGCAGGGGATCCGTCTCGATAAAATAAAGCAATAATACCTGATGGTGTGAAATCTGTAACGTTTGTATTCGCTCATGCAGAGAATCCTAACATTTACATACCCAGTCATATTTGGATCAGGTCATTGAAGGGCAAACGTCTTCTATTTATTAAATCAGTTTATCATGCTGGTTCTAATGGGGACGGTGGACATTAACTGTAGGATCAAAGATGTGTCTTGCTATCAGTATATTTTAAAGCGATTAGAATAATTGCGGCTTTTGCGTGTAAGCTTAACAGAATGGACGAATACTCTGAAACACATTATTCTTAAGCTTTAAAAATATTAATGTAAGTTAAAAATGTACATATTGTAAATGCCAAAACAATGTCGCATCGATTGAATAGACGATATACTGACTGACAGTAACGCTGGTAGGTTATTCAACAGACAACCGAAAACAACACTACCTTTCCGTTTTAACTTACGCAGTCAATGATCGAGTTTCTCTCTGCCGGCGGCCATTATGCCATGGCAATCTTACACACGATTCAGCGCTCCGAAATGGTCTCTACCTACCTGTGGTAGGGCAATTAGTAAAACCCTCACCCTCATATGTGTCTTCCTGATGTAACCGACTCTTGATATAATGCTGCTCAACCCAGTGTCACGGCCATTGAACTGACACAAAATGACAGAAGCCATCACAAAGTAATGAAGATCAAAGGTTATCTCATCCCATTTGTCCGCAATGAACTGATAAAAAACAGAGCAGTGCACTCAAGTCATCATCTAATCAGGTATGAAAATTTTGTTCCGCCTCATAAACAGTTGGCTTCAATTGTTACTGAACTGAACAGAACATTATTTACGCTCCGGTCATGTCCTGAGGCATTGTTAAACAAAAGCTGGTTAATTTTGTGCATAATCAGTTTTTTACAGTAGCAGTTAAAATATGTAGTTGATTTTTGTTTTCTAAGACAAAGGTAGAGCAAATAGCAAAAAATGAAATTCATCTCCAATATCGTTTGTATTGCAAAGAGAGCATTTTGAGAACCTTTTATCCGATGTTTAATTGTTGGGTTGAATCTGTATCTTCAATAAATAGGTGTATTTTGAAAGCTCCATTTTTGGATAAACGAAAAACCTATATCGTACATAATACACTAGACTACGAGTAACGTGTACCTGTTAACGTTAGCGTTACAAGTTGGTATGTATCTGTGAACCAATCCATCAATCCATGCACGCATGCGTGCACGTACATAGCAAGGGCGACTGTGGGGTAGTCTAGTGGTTAAAGCGTTCACTAGTCACGCCGAAGACCCGGGTTCGATTCTCCATATGGGTACAAGGTGTGAAGTCCATTTCTGGTGTGCCCCGCCGTGATATTGCTGGAATATTGCTAAAAGCGGCGTAAAACCAAACCCACTCACTCACTCACATAGCAAGGGGACCACTGGGGTCGGTTACAAAGCTTACTGAAGATGAGCACAACCCACATGCGTTAACCAGTATAAACTATAAACAAACTTCCCAAAGTCATTTATTCATATTTTTCACAAACAGCACTAAAACACGTGATCCTGTCCTGGTCCTCAGGTCTGCAGGATTCAGGGGTTTAAAGTCGCAATGACAACAAAACACAAAATTTGGTAAACAAAATCAATTTTTTTCAAACTCAACAAATATATATCACAGAATCAACAATCAAAAAGTAACATGAAGGACAAAATACAGTAATGCTCAAAGTTCCTAATAAAAGTGAAAACCCTATTAGAAATACCTTTTGTATTACCCCTACTCTTAATCCAAACTTAATTCCCCCAAGTCATACTCCCTGCACCAATCAAATACAAATTTAACTACCTAAAATTATCGAACCCAAACTTCTTCTTTAAACTAAAACTGTAAGAAACTTAAAACTCTGTTTGCCTAGTCTACAGATACAATAGCGAATTTCTCACCTTTGTAGCCTATGTACGACTCCAAAGCCCAGAGTGAAAAATAATCTGCCCTTTTATACAGAGAGACAGACACTTTGTTCGGTAATATACGGCCTTATGGCCCATTTTAGTTATTTATAATGGCACGTGAGCACAAATTGAAGTAATTATCTAGCAATAAATATATGTTTTAACAATCTTGCAACTGCTTGTATAACAAGATGATTTTGAGAATTTCATAAATTTACCGTTAACATATTGTCTTTATGGACATGTCTAATATGTGGAAGATAGTTCTCTCTCACATCTTTATATTTATCACAAACTAATAATACACGAAATTCTTCTTCAATAAAGCACAATTTACAGTTTGCACACTTAATTAGACCAATATCGTCCTGTTTATAGAAATATTGACATTAAAATTGTGTAGGGAAACTTTACACATGGCTCTTATCAAATGCTTATTGTCTAATGATGTCAAATATTTCTCTTGTTCTATAGCTGACTTAATCGAATTATAATGACATAAAAAGAATGAAGTTGAAATACTACTGTGCCAGTTTTGATAATACATATCTCGTAATCTTGGTCTTAATGAAAATAGAAATAACTCTTCCTCACCAAAGTCTTGGGCAATCCAAACAAAAGAATACCCACAAGTTAAAGGGAAAGATCTTACATTTGAAACCCAAATACAACTGGTCTTAACATTATCATCAAGAGTTTTTAATAAATTATAGCATTGATAAGGATATCGTTGTCGTTCCATCTTTAGCAATTTACACCAATATTTAACCACTCTAATTTGGCTGAGAATGAAAAGAGGATAACGCCCTGTATCGCATAAAATGGCCTTATTTGAAGCAAACTTCCCAACCCGTAAAAAACGTTTAAAGAATGATTCCACTTTCTGTATTGCCTCATTATATTTAGTGTTCCATATCTCTGCACCATATAACAAAATTGGTTCAATTTTACCATCAAAAATAGACACATTCTGTAGAAAATGGAACATTTACAAGTTTTGTGAAAAATGTATAAACTGGAATAACAGCTTTAGAGGCTTGACATGCTGATTGTTTACAAGATACTGACCATGATAATCTGGAAGATATAACTAATATAAGGGTAACGGTATTTTCAGGGCATTATCATTTGCAGAAGCCCGTGGTCTTTCATTAGACAGAGGAAAAGAAAAGACAGAGGGCTTCTGCAAATGATAATGCCCTGAAAAATACCGTTACCGTTATTATTGCTAAAATGGATAGAATATTTTATAAATTAAAAACAAACAACGGTATCGGTTTTGAAGCATTGACTGCTAACAACAAACGACGGAGGTCACTGACCCACTTTTTTACAAATATGGAAACGTCATAGAACAAAACAGATGCCCTCACTATTGACCTTGACCTTTCCCCATACTACCAGCCGCCATTGTTTTCAATGCTCGACAAAGTAAGAGTTCCGGTCGATGGTTTTATTGCTGCATGTTGTAACACATGGTACAATTGTTAAGGTTGGCACCGGCAAGAAAGCGCATAATGGCACAGGTACATGTGACGAATGTGAGTCAGAAATATCGTCAATATTGAACCAAAGTTCACACGAGCCGTAGGTGATTGAACATCAAGAGCTGAGATCCTTATGACGTCACCGTCGTCAAGCAGTTTGGGGGCATTATCAAGTTACAGTGGCCCGCTCATTTCTGATAACATGCGGGCGTTTTAATGATAATTCTATCTATTTTAGCTATATTCCTTATTGTTTATAATATGTCTTAATTTCGAAAGGAACATTGTCATTTATACCCTAACCTACAACTTTCATGCTCTGAAAATTACCCAATAAATGCCTACAAAAGAAATGTTCAATGGACTGATCCATCTGTTAATGAGATTCTCCTCACTGGCCCATCCCATTGAATATCAATGGGGAGAAGCATACTAGGCACGTGCCTAGTGGGTCCTTACCCCTCAAGAGATAAATGGACCAGCACACAGAAGCCTACTGTAAGCCTGATGTATTGTTTTAGCCTCGCCTAGGCCTTGCCTAACCCTGTCCCTGCCCTGAATAACAAGCCTAATTTCTACAAAGAAAATAACCCCACCAAGTCAAAACGCCGATGGGATTCCAGCTGTTACAGCCATGCTTTAGCAGATAATATTCATATGCCCGCCCTGTGCAGCCTAACTAGCCTAACTATCTTACACATTCAATGCATGATATTTAACACATGCTTTACAGAAATAAGATTTACACTTGACGTACCTGTTATTTTCTTATTTTCCACCTGTATTTACGTTACACCTAGTGACTGGCATGCTGTCATTGGTTGGAGAGTATAGAAAGAACAAAGCTCGATTGTACTTCAAGTGTCTATAGAACAGTTTCTCTGATATCTTCAGGTAGGTGATTCAGTGGGACAGAACTGGCTATTTCATTGTTATTGAATTAGCAGATTATTGATACAACTGAAGCTAAGTTAAAGGCCTTGTTCAAATGAGTTCTTTTGCCAATTCAAGCGTAAAACGAGATTTATATGCATATTGGAACAGATCATCAAGGGGTGGGTTGCCCTCTTCTTTCCTACATGTGTTATCTCAATTTTTTTAAAGAGGAGGTCCAGAATTTCACATGCAGCTTTCACAGTATACTTAAGGTGGTATTTGCTTTAAACGGTGGCAGTGCAATGGACTTCTGAAGATAGACATGTAACCCACAGGGGCTTGAAACGCATAAGAAACGTCATCAAGGGATATATTGTCACTGAAGGGGTCTTAGCACTATATAGAGAGCAAAGTCCCCATCGGTGACAATATATACCTTGATGCTACTGTTTGCAAAATTGTTTTGTACATTCAGTATTTGCTGTGAATATGGAAATCATTTCAGTAATATTTAGCACTTTACTAGGATATGGCCGGACGTCACACACAGGCACGGTTTGAGTTCAGCCTCAGAAGGAAACTGACGCCTCTTGATATCGCAGACATGTTCAACGACTTTGCTGAAGACTATGAAGAGGTAACTGAAATCCGTAACTAGTGTTCACAATTGTCACAATAGTATCAGTCATAAGATCGTTTAGATTACGTTTCGCCTTTGTTATGGCCACTCTTGCTAAATGGTTTTTTTATTGTGAATTATAACACTGAATGCACAACTTCCTACCATCGCCAGCGGCTAAAGGGAAGTTGTAATCCAGCTAGGGTCCATGCAGGTTGCAAAAGTAATGTAAGTCCCCATGGTTCCTAGTATGGTGATCTACCTTCAGTTGTTGGCGATCTATAGCCCGTGTTTTATATTGCATTGTCTTATTTAATTAAACTCTTTTAGTTTTACATGCTGGTTTTCTGTTCATATATACTGGACAAATAAGTTAGGGATATTGGTGTTTTTATAATTGATATTTTATCAGTGTGTCAATGAATAAATAGATCATTATTCGTAATATCAAAATGTACATATATCCCTAACTATTTTTGTCCAGTATATGTGATACTCTAGCATTTTTATTGGCCATCTTCGACAGGTTTTACTCCTTAAAATATTTTCATTTTTATTGTATAAATCTGCATGTCAAGAAATGCTTCTTTCGAGACGACATGATAAATATATTGACTTTGTTCTTTACTTGCCTAAATCGCATTCTGCTTGCAGGTATATTCAAGCATTGGTTGGAGAACTCATGAAGTTATCGGAGACTTCATGGCTAAAATTATCCCAGAGGAAAATAGATCAAAACTAAAAGTCTTGGACGTTGCAGCTGGCACAGGACTTCTTGGAAATGAGGTAAATAATAGCTCAAAATCGTTTTCACATCTATAAGAAATCTCTTCTAAAAGCAGAGTCGATTGTGCAATTCCGACTACATCGTGAGCATGTGTTTATGCATTACTATCAAATAATGGCGATACCAGATGTTCGCGAAAGGTGAGCGCATCCTGCCCCAGCGGTGGCACTCATCAAGAACAAATACAAAATCTGGTCAATTGTTCAACTGAATCAACACGGGGTAAAACAACATCGAACTGCATTTTGTCACATGCTCGCAAAAGTCGAGAAATGTAAACACCAAAGGCTGGAGTTTGTGTGGATGCAAAACATTGCTCGACATTTAAGGAAAGTCTCATTCGTGTCCTCTATTTCCAATTCAGGTTGGTGAATCGGTGGTGTAAGTTGCCGTATCAACTTTAACAAGAATATCAAGAAGAGTGAACTTCCGAATAAACTGTTTTAATGCTCGGTAGTCTCCTGGTAAACAATCACCAACCACGGGCTCTCTCATAGCGAGGCGGGCTTTATCTGCACGTGCGCACGTGAGCCATGGAAGAGAGATAACTCTAATATCACTCATTAGAAACCAGCCACTAGTCAAATCTACAGGTGGAAGGAAACTGGCTATCTGATTGTTATCGCACGATAACAGATAATCAATGTACCTGAAGGATAGGTTAAACCTCTTGTCCAAAGTGCTTTGTTTTGTTTTGCCAACCCGAGCAAATTCTGATTCAAAGAGAACCTCAAGGAAAGGAGCTCAACTGGGTTTAGCAGTGTCTTTTTCTGGTCAATAAAGTGGCAGTTGCCCGCTCGATATATATACCAAATAATCTGGTAATAAGAAATAACAGGGGTACATATTCTGTTACTATTACACTTAGAACATTCCACAGTAAAAATGTCCTCCATATTTAATCCTAGTAGATCTATAAAGACAAGAACACCCAAACAGACAGACAGACCAACAACACAAACAACAATACACTGATGATTCATTTTCTTGGGCAATCCCGCGATCGATTGTTTGCCGAAATGTAGGAACTTGACATCGTCTTTGAGATGAAGGATCAAGGAGTACTTTATGTCAAACTTTTCACAACCCATAAAAACGATGCAACTATAAAAACAATACCGATTGTTTTCCTTATACTACAATAACCAGAACACCATCTGAGACACTCCCTAAAGTATCGAAATCATCCACAAGCTGTCAAACAAACTTCACTGGGACTTATAATACACCCCTGACGGATTCCCACATTGAAGGAATAATAACTTGACAAACCCTTAGTGGTTTTCACATAAGCAGAAAGTGTATTATACATAGGTGTGATGATGTTTAAGAACCCAGATAGTCCTTCTTTCCCCACGGAGTTTAAAAGTGCATCATGTTTAATAGTACCAAATGCCTTGGAAAAATCAATAAAAGACAAAAGTATCTAGCTACTTCTTTTCTACAGGAGTATTTCTGGATATAGCTTGCAGTGTAAACATGAGACACGAACATCCTTATGCGTTGGTCCAGTAGAAATGAGCAGCAATGTCTTTACTGATACGACAGCTTCTAAGTGCCACTAAGAGACTTAGAATTTCCCTTTTCATGTCTTGGAAATATTTTACCATGGATATTTACTGAATAATGAAGACATGACATATTTTTCTTAAAATGTTTTGCAGGTCGTAAAATTCATGTTGACAGGGTTGACAACTTATTATTATTTATAATTTTACATTTTTGGTCATGGTTGGGGAATCAATCTCTTGATTTTCTTCAGACCAGAAATACTTATGTGTGAGCAACTGTACTTGACACTTTCCAGCTAAAGAATCACGGGTTCACACACGTCGATGCTTTGGATCCAGCAGAAGAGATGCTGAGTATGGCCAAACGTCGCAACATCTACCGAACATACTTTTGTGCCTTTATAAACAAAGACAGGAACGATGCCATAGAAACGGGTGAGAAACACTATTAAAGTAAACGCTTAGTTGGATCGTGTTCAATGGGTCCACATATCTGACATCATAACTACCCAAATAGAAATATGTTTGAGATTTCTTTCTTGAAATATATGTAAGTGGTCAATAAGTCAAGTGATTAAGAATGTGGCGTAGTTGCCCAATTCAAACAGAAATACAACAGATAAGTATAGTCATTTTATTTAGATCTACTATTCATTAGTATAAGTGTATGCTTATTAAAAATATAAAACATAAACTCCATTTGTGAATTACTTTCTATGTAGGCAAATAGTCATTAGTATTTGTAGTGCTTATTGAAATGTATACAAGCATATGCTCAAGTTGTGAATTACTTTCTATATAGGCAAATATTCATGTGTGTGTGTGTCTGTCTGTCTGTCTGTCTGTCTGTCTGTCTCTCTCTCTCTCTCTCTCTCTCTCTCTCTCTCTCTCTCTCTCTCTCTGTGTGTGTGCTTATTCAAAATATCAGCATATGCTGGATTTGTGAATTACTTTCTATGTAGGCATGAGTCACACCTAAAACATAAAATATATACATGTGAAGAAGACTCGACATCGTTTGATGATTTTCATCGGAGATTATATGTGTTGGAAATAAGTAAACAAAGTATAAAATCTAGCCTGAAAAAGTTCCAATTTGAAAATTAATGTTATACGTTGTAAATTTGAAATATGGGTCTTTCCATAGTGACATATGTTTGATTCACTTGATAGATCTACTTCGCTTTCTGAGGTGGTTGGGTAGCCTTGTGGTTAAAGCGGTGGTTAACATTGTCTGACTGACTGACTGAGTTTGGTTGGTTAACATTGTCACGCCGAAGACCAAGGTTCGATTCCCAACATGGGTACAATGTGTGATTGTCTCCCCCGCCGTGATATTGTTGTAATATTGCTAAAAGCCGCGTAAAATCAAAACTCACTCACTCACTTCGCTTTATGTGCTGCTGTCAAGACTACTTAACTAACAACGGGCTAATATTGATATGGGAGAATTTGTGGAAGACCCTGTTCGAAAATTCAACATTTGGCTAGTAAACTACTTAACTGATCCAGCGAGTCAACACGCCTTAATGATGTAAGGTCACGTGATGTCAACTCTGCTCATAACTATCGGTAGTTTCCGGACACACGAGTAGTGTTTTTTTAACATATTTGGCTACAGAGGAAAGGAAAGACTTTCTTCTTCAATATATTTGTTTTACATGCTTTATGAATGATTGGATTTCTGATTTTACTTTACATCTCTTTTAAGGAGAAAAATGCACGAGGTCATGGACTATTCAATTCTGGTTCGGTGACCATGTTGTTGCAATCACTGCCCGTTAAGTAAAATTCGTACATCTGTCAGTGCTACAGCCGGTCATCACCTTGGACATTCCTCAGACATCAAGATACAACTCCGCTCCACTACTCTCATCTCCGCTCCTCTCCTCTCAGCCCCACTCCTCTCCTCTGCTATACCACTCCTCTCCTCTCCGCCCCTGTGCGCTCCTCTCCTCTCCTCTCCACTCCACTCCACTGCGCCCCACTCCACTGCACTCCACTCCTCTCATCCCATCTCATCTCCGCTCTTCTCCTCTCCTCTCCTCTCCTCTCAACTCCTCTCCTCTCCTCTCCTTTCCACTCCGCTCCTCTCCTCTCCGTGCCTCTCCTTCCTATCCGCGCCTCTCAGCTCCCCTCCACTGTACTCCTATCCTCACCACTCCACTCCGCTCCTCTCCTCTCTTCTCCGCTCCTCTCCACTCCACTCCTCTCCCCTCCTCTCCACTCCTTTCCTCTCCTTTCCTCTACGCTCCTTTCCGCTCCTCTCCACTCTACTCCACTCCTCTTCTCTCTTCTCCTCCCCACTGTACTCCTCTCCTCACCACTCCTCTCCCCTCCTCTCCCTCCCTCCACTCCCCTCCTCTCCTCTCCTCTCCGCTACTCTCCTCTCCAATCAGCTCCACTCCTCTTCTCTTCTCTCCTCTCCTTTCCTCTCCGCTCCGCTCCTCTCGTCTCCTCGCCTGTCCACTCCACTCCAAGCCTATCCACCCTCAGGTGTTGATGTAAAATATGATGACAGATGTTGCTTTGCGTATTACACTATCTCAGTAAAGTGCAGATTCTTGTACTTTTGTTGGACTGAGTCCCATCCGGGATTCGAACATGTAATCCAAAATATAGCATATGTTACATTTGGCTCCTTTCTAAATGGCATTGTGTATTCATAAAATATGTATATATAACATATAGGGTAGACTACCTGAAATTCGTATAGCTGCAACCGTTCCCTGTCAAATAACACAGATGAACAGTGTTTCCAGTTATTACCTTTATCTACCCACGCTTCTATCGTTATGTAGCGCATGGATTTTGATTGATGTAAAATGGAAATTATATGTCTTAAATATTGTGCTTATATGTTTTTAGATTACTATGACCACATTGTGGCATCGGGTGCTTTTAATGAAGGTCTGATTCCCTGTGACGCCTTCCAGGAAATGGTTCGGATCGTTAAACCAGGTGATGATCTTGGCTGAAATTGGTTTTACACGAGTTTTATTTTGTGTGTGTTTTTTCTGCTGTGTGGTTATGGTAAGCAACTCTGGTTGTAATCGTCGGTAGACCACATAACTTTACAACTGACGATATATTTCTTAATATTTTGAATGTTATCAGAATATGGGTTTGTAAATCTGTAAAACCCGAGGAAAAACATAAAAGCTTTCCCAGGATATTTTCTGGAACAAATCAAATCCTAATTTCGATCTTGAGCAAATGTCCTGAAATATCAACTATTGTGTATTTTCGATTCTTCACCACCCCATGCTTGTCGTGAGCTGCGACTATCGGGATTTGGCGGTCAGATTCGCTTGACTTGGTTGATGCATGTGTGGCATCATGTCCCAGTGTATAGATCAATGTTTATGATGTCTATCAGTGGATTGCTGTCTAGATTCGATTATTTCCATATCGCCGTCATGTAGCTGGAATAATGCTGACCGAGGCCTTACACAACGAACATACATTCACCTACTAAATAATTTAAGTAGTTATATTCACCAGGTGGTCGAATCACTTTCGCTATTCCAACCAAGACCATCAACAACGCGGACAACTTACGGGACCGGTTACTTCCCCTTATAGACCAGTTGGCGGAAGAGGGCGTGTGGGAGGTCACTTCCGTTCCACACGGAGATGGAGAATTTTCTTACACTCACGGTCCAGGAACTATGTTTAGTTTGAAGGTTCTTGTGTCAGAAAAGAAGTTTTAAAAATCTATAAAGGTCAGTTCCATCGGACTAAAAGTCTTAAGGTGGGTTTTTTGGGGTCTAATGATTATTTTTGTCGCACTGACCAGAAACGTTTTGAGGGGTGATTGTTTCAGGGTGATGCAAAATTGTTTCCCTTTTAAATCTAAATTTAAATTAAACTTAAAAGTTTAAAAACTAGAAACGTGTTTCTCATACAACAAGATACCAACGAATTAAAACAAAACTTCGAAAAAAAGCACACATATTAATGAAAGAAAGAACTATTTCCAGATCGTAAAACCAGAGACTGCTGTAAGGAGGTTGGTTTCCTTTACATGAACATATTCACAGAAAACATAAAGTGGTGCATTTGAAATGTGGTTAGGCATCGCGTTCAAGACTATTTAGCGACATCACATAAAATGATAGTAGTATGTATATAATTTGCGGCAATGTTTTCACATGACGTCCCTTAGTTTCTGTCAATCGAAAATCCCTCAAAATATTTTCACCTTTTTTCATATCTTCATGGGCAATGTTTTCAACACCTTGACAGGCGAATGTTGAGTGTATTTCATAACGTTCAGTTCCTAGGTTTTCAAAACTTTAAAACACTCTATCATTTTTACTTTTTTCATGTCTTTTAACTGCTTCATATCTACATATACATACATTTTACACATGCATATATATCAATAAAATTGGGGATTAAATAATTAATTTCTTTGGTTGGAATCCAGCTAGGGTCCATGCTGGTAGCAAAAGTGCTGTAAGTCCCCCATGGAACCTTCAGTGACTGGTGATCTATACCCCACTTTCATATTGTGATCTGTAGTGATATCTTTTTATGATTACATGCTAGTTTTTAATGTTCATCTCTGATAGTATAGCTATTTTACTGTCCTTCGTTCACATTTATTTATATTGACTATATAAATACATATATATATACTGTCCGATAAAAGAAACGCATAGGCCAGATATCTGTTGCGAAATTGTTGTATGTTCAAATACCTGTAACTCGTCCACAAATAGACTTTGAGAAATGAATTTTTACATCAGTTTAGAAGAAGTTAAGGTCTATACAACCCAGTGGATAATTTTAGATAACGGGGACGTTGAGCGCGATGGTGACGACGTAACACGGTCCCGACGTTGGGTCTCCTGGCTCTCAGTTCAATCTCTCTCAACCTGTTCCGTACAGTTTGACCGGATATCCTCCGAAGTTCAGGCACCCTGGCTGCTGTGCTCTCATCCGTGGCAGTACGAACACGCAGATGTAGTACCCGGATGTACCGATCTTGGGCTGCAGTGGTGACTCGAGCTCTGTCCGTACGAGGACGGTCATTTGTTATACCTGTTTGGTTGTAACGAGCTGCAAGCCGTGATATCGTGCTCAGACTAACATTCAGACGCCTGGCAACAGAAGATTGGTGATCTCCAGCGTGCATGCTTTCAATGCCGATGCTCCGTGTCGCAGAGTCAAGACGTGGCGTAGTGATTTGACCTTGAAACGCCTTCAAAACGAATGCCGATTTCAGAATGTAATCAGGATTTTTATAGCCAGACAGTGCATGCTCTTTGCTGCACTATTTCAACTGGAAGGTGATTTCGGTTGCCTTGTGGCGATGCCTTTTTAATCCTTGTAAGAAATCTCATCAAAATCAACATTTTCAGGTGAAGTCGATTTTTTACTTGTGCAATTGATTAAAATCATGTTATCAACTCTTTTGTTACATATTTTGACGATTGTTTGAACA